CGTCGTCGTCGTCGTCGTCGTCGTCTTCTTCTTCTTCTGCGTCTTCTTGGCCGTCCTCGTCGGATGCATCCTCGACATCCGGCGATTGCGATTGAGCTGAGGCGACTACCCTTTCAAAGCCGTTGCCGCGCTCGATCTGATGACCCTCTGCGAGCTCTGCTTCGAGGGTGTCCTGCTGTGCAGGGTCAATCGAATCGGGTCGTGCCGAGCTTGACGGTTTGGGATCTCTTGCCGGCGGTGCTCTTGCGGAGTCGGAGTCGTATTCGTCGTCGGATGCGGTGGAGACCTCGCGGATGAGCAAGTTGAACTCGTTGAAGTCACCGTGGATGAGGCCTGCGCGTGCGAGACGGACGATGAGCTTCATGAGAGCCGAGTAGAGAAGCGGGATCTGATCTGGTGGCAGGACGGCGATCTGGCGAAGAGGGAAAGCGTCGATGTAGGACATGACGATGCAGTGACGAGCCTGATCGATGGGCTGTGGGACGGGAAAGCCGTGCTCGTGGAGGATCTTCATGAAGGCGTACTCTTTTGCAGCAGCGAGGCGACTCATGTACATCCAGCTGGCGCTTTTTCGTTTGCCCATGTAGTCTCGCTTCTCCTTGATGGCTCTGAAACTGATTCGACCGAGTCTGTGAATCTTGAGGACTCTTTGCTCGTGTTCGGGGGAGGAGACGATCATGATGTCACTCTCCTTGCCGACACCGATGCGGCGACCGACGGCGGCGATGGAGTCGCGCTTGGAAAAGGCACGGAGGGCGAGGTAGTCGTAACCGCCGTAGGTGAGGCGATATCCGTCGTACTTTGTGTTCTGGACACGTGCGATGAGGTTGCGCTTTGCGAGTGAGCCGAGCAGCTTGTTGATTCCCGAGTGATGCAGGCCGCAGATCTGGGCTGCCAGGGAGGAGGGCACCACCTCGTGATTCTTGGAGCCCATCTCGATGGCAGTCAGGACACGGAACTCCTGACTGGAGATGTAGCGCAGGTCTGTAGCGTCGAGCCTCATGGTGAAGTGGTTTGTCGAGTTGCTGCCGACTGCAGTGATTGATGAAGAGCGAGATGGAAGGGATGGCGAGAAGACGTAAGGAAGCAAGGAAGACATGAGCCCGCATGCCGCTGTGGCTCTTGCAATTTTTTCTTCTTCTCTGGTTCTGCACAATTTCGAGCAGGACCCTGAACTGGAGAGCTCCACACGTCGCGAGCGAGGTTTTTGTTGAGAGTGTGAGATCGATCGTGTTCACAACGCTCGAAATCCGCAATTCAGGTCTGGAAGGGCGCTGCAGGCTCAGACTGTCGCCACAACAGCGCAATGACGATGGCGATCAGGGGCGGCGTTTTGGCTCAGCTCGAGGTTCAGCTGCAGATGGCGCATCTCGGCACCAACTCCACATTCGAGTGCGCAAAACCCTGGCAAAACCCTGGCGGGGGGGCACTTTGGCTTGAGGCGGCTGCTGCTGCTGCTGCTGCTCCTGCTGCT